CCTGCATGTAGCTACAGAATCAAAGCCATGCACATGGTGGCCAGTCATCAGTGTTTTATCTATTTTTTTTTGTTGTTGTTGTTTAATTTCAGTGATTGCAATTTGATTTGTTTCACTAGTTTCCTGCCTTATGGGCCTTATCGATCCTTTAAGCTGTGTTTTCTTTGTTTCCACCATCCCCTTGTCTGTGTTGTCTCACCCATCAGTCCTCAAACCCAAGAAGTACTTCCTAATATCCCTGTAACTCTTATGCATCTTTAGTGACCCTCTGTCCTTAATCCTTGTCATTAAAAAATGTATCTCTGTCAGCTGTATCTAATCCTCTGAGTATCTTGCATTGTATATTGTTTCTGTGTCTCCTCTTGTCCTTCTAAGGTCATCAGATTCACTTCTTCTGTTTTTTTCAGCTCCAGGACCAGTCTTTTTGCAAATTTTCTAACTTTCTCTAGTCTTTATATGCTTCAATAGGTATGGGCTCCAAACAGCCACAGCATATTCTGTAATAGATTTGATAGATATATAGGTCAGCCATCACTAATCTGGCATCATTGGGACCTGTGGTGCACCGGATTAGTGAGTTTGCCGAATTGCCAAATTACAGAGTGGTTAGGTTAGAATACACTTAACCCTTTAACTGTTTTGGTCATATATATACGTCTTACGAGCCAATGTGTTTGACGTATATATATACTCAAAAATTTTAGCTGCTTCAAATCAAGCAGGAGAAAGCTGGCAGGCCCACATGTAAGAGAATGGATGTGTGGTCAGTGTGCACAGTACAAAAAAAATCTTGCAGCACATAGTGCATAACGAGAAAAAAAAAACTGACCGTGTTTTTGGATTAAAATGCTGATTTTGAGGTGTATTTTTGTGTAGTATTTATGGTTTTATTCTTCTTTTCTTGGTCTCATTTGATAGAATGGAAAACACATTATAGAAAAAGAAGTGATTTTGATTGGTTTTACTATGAAAAGGATCTTGAAATGGAGCTCAAAGTGGCAGATATGTTTGGTTTTTGCCAATGTTCAAGAGTAAGCAATAAATGTCCAATAAATGTCCAACTAGCCATTCTAATATGCAGTCATGAATTGGTTGACATTATTTGTACAATTATTACAATATTGCAGTAGTCTGCATAACAGTAAATGTTCTATTTTTTGTGTGAATAAAAATTCAAAATAGAAAGCAAGAGGATTATAACAGGGGCCTGGAGACGTGACTGATGAACAAAGAAAATATTTTAGTGCCAGGAATGTTGCATTGTTCATTCTGGACCCTATTTTGAAATTGACATGTGTTTTAATTTGCATGAAATTGTCCAAATTGCCATTTTCTGACCACTTTATTGGGTAGTTGTAATCGGTAAATGGGTGATTTCTTGTACTCAATCGATAGAACAAATGGAGTTCTAAAGAAATAGGTATGAGTTTGGTCGACTGGAACAATGGAATTGACTGAAAATAGGGCTCAAAGTGGGCAAAATCACCGATGTGTAAAAATTGCTGAGATCGTTAACTTTGCAAGAGCATAATTCCATAAGTTTTCCATAAAATTTCATACTTTTTGTGTCATTACCATTGGGTAAAGATTCTCTATCATTTCATAAGAAAAAATCATTTTTTTTTTTCAAATATTTTGCGACACCAGGAGACACCTCAGGATTTGGGGTTGTGACAGTCAAAGGGTTAATTAACCTATCAATAAAGAGACTTGCTAGCTGAAATTAGTGCCGGATTACTGATGGAACTGGATAACTGATTGCCAGATTAGTGATGGCTGACCTGTACTATACATTATTGTCCTCATTTATTATTTTTTGCTAAAATTCCTGAAATTATTTCTCCAGTTTGTTTGATGTGAACATAACTAACACTGTCCTGTTGATGTGTGTCCCTACTGATTTAATGGGTAGTTATATTTGCATCAAAATCTTTCTCCTGTTCAGTCTATACTCTGTCTTCAGTCTTCTTTCACCTTCTTGTAACTCTGCAATTGCTGGGAATGAATTGCAGTAGCTCCTTCTGACAGTGATCTATTTACATTATCTTGTGATCTTTTCATGCCTCATACTTAGTGTGTGTCCTCAGGATGGTAAGGAGGCTTGTTATGTATCAAGTGTGTGTCCTCAGGATGGTAAGGAAGTTTATTATGTATTAAGTGTGTGTCCTCAGGATGGTAAGGAAGTTTGTTATGTATCAAGTGTGTGTCCTCAGGATGGTAAGGAAGTTTGTTATGTATCAAGTGTGTGTCCTCAGGATGGTAAGGAAGTTTGTTATGTATCAAGTGTGTGACCTCAGGATGGTAAGGAAGTTTGTTATGTATCAAGTGTGTGTCATCAGTGTTTGAGAGACATCATTCCCTACCTGTTATAATAGTAGTGTGAGTGATTACTGAGGTAGGAGGGGGACAAAACTGTATACAAACAGTAGTCCAAGAAGCTTCAATCCTGTTTTGAGATTTTTACACTCACTAGTTATTAAAATTAATAAAAAATAGAACACATTTTAATGAAATAAAACACCTATGCTTCCTGTTTTCAAATGTCCATTCATCTGAATGCCTGCCCGCCCACCTCTGCTTGCCCACCACCTTTCTTTCCCAACCAGTTGCTCACTGATCCACTCACCCACCTGTCTTTCAACCCACTTTGCTACTTATATTCCTTTTCTTATTTTTATAATGAAATTCACTGACATTTCATTAAGTTCATTAATTGCATGTCAGGTGGGCTTGTATTTATTTGGTAGAAATTGGTAAAAAAATGTGCATTTTTTATTGATCTAGAAATTAAATTTTCTTGAAATTTTTTTATTGTATACATTGATGTTTGGTAGCAAAATCTGCACAAGTAAATGTTGTGTCAAGCTTGCTAACAATGTATCCTTAGTTGGATCAAGAATAAATACTACTATAATGATTACCAAGAATTTCTGCTATCAGTGTGTGTGCCCCCTCCCCTCAAGCCTTCAGACTGAGCAACTGATCATTGACTGCACTATAGGAAGGGTTTGAAAGGTGTATTTTCCAATGTATTACAATAATCAGTTATTTTTGAGACATGTTATGAGAACTGGTTGATATACTGTATGTATGTGTATATGTATATGTATATATATATATATAAAATATATATATTTTATAATATATTATATATATATAAAATATATATATAAAATATATATATATATCGGGAGCAAGGGGCTAGTAACCTCTTCTCCTGTATATATTACTAAATGTAAAAGGAGAAACTTTCGTTTTTCCTTTTTGGGCCCCCCTGCCTCGTGTGGATACGGCCGGTGTGTTGAAAGAAAGGATATATATATATATATATATTATAATATATATATATATATATATATAATATATATACACACACACACACATATATATATACATACACTTTATGCTGCCTCTATATTAAATAAACTTTACAGTATATTAAATTTTCTCAGATAATAGAATGCGCTACATTTTACAGTACTTTATGTAGTAATTATTGTATGTTATAATGCTGCTTAGTTGTATATTTTATATTGTATCATACTGTACAAAAACATTCTATTATTCTGTTGCAATTTATAATATATAGAAATAAGTTGTGTGTTTTCAAGAATGCTTTGGGTTTTAATTATTGTTGCAAAAATAATTTGCCGCATGAACTGTAACCCAGAATATGAGTTGCTGTTTATGAGTAAAAGTTGATAAATTAGACACATTCAATGCTTGGGTATCTTTATTGAGGAAACATTTCATTACACAGTAGCTCCATCAGTCCTATACAAAGAAGAACTATGAAGATCAGAAGGAGTTTGAGGTAATCAGTTTCAATAAGATAGGTTGACTCCAAGCTGAGGGACTGATGACCTCAAACTCCTTCTGATCTCCACCATTCATCTTTGTATTGGACTGATGAAGCCACTGTGTAGTGAAACATTTACTCATTAAAGATACCCAAGTGTTGCATGTGTCTAATTTATCAACTTGTCGGTTCTCTGAACCATTTATCTACGTGAGTAACAGCGTTAAAAATGCTACTGCCTCTATTTTGTTAAGAGTAAATAGGTAGCACATCCATTCAAATGCATTAGCTTTTAAAGTAGCGTATGTGTAAAGGATTGTGTAGTATGTTGGTGGTGGAAGGAGTATGTCAGTCACTCAAAACAATCTTAATTTTTTTTTATATCAGGAAGTTCAATGTTTGCATGGTCTTACTCATGTTGCTGAATAGAAATATAGAATAAAGGCATACATATTATAGTGAAATCTTGCTTTCTGGATACATGATAGACAATTATCAATTTGCCTGTATTAAGCATGCCCAGATCTATCATCAAGATTTTCATACATGATAAATATTTCAAGTAATTGTCTATAGATTGTTAATTGCACAAATATTCTTCTTGATCTTTATCATTTTTTTTTTTTTTTTGCTCATAAGGAATTATATTTATAACTCATTGATAGAGGAATCATAAGTAAATTATCAATAATTATTAAATAGGAAACAATATTATAATTTGCTCTTTAACATGACTCTTATTTTTAATCATACATTGAGTAATAATAATAATAATAATAATAATAATAATAATAATAATAATAATAATAATAATAATAATAATAATAATAATAGGAGGAGGAATGTTCACAACCTTTAAATGTGTCTTATACTGTATCTTAATAGCTCTCAAAAATATATTTTTAAAATAAACAATTGTTGTGTAGGTGTATGTGTGTGTTGGAGAGTAGTAACTTAGATACAGTTGCAAGATGTATTGGTATACTATATAACTATTGCACTTTATAGTATATTAGAACAATTAGAACATGCTTCTGCTGCATTATATTTCCATTACAGCATGTCATGCTTGAAGTATGAAAATAAAATATATACCACTGTAAATTTAGTTTTGTTTAAATTGTGTTCTTGTAAAAATATTGATAAATAGCCCAAGGTTACACTTCAAAATTTGAATGTTAATGCATTGTTGTATTAACAGGAGGACTGTTTGGAGGAGTAGCAACACCGCTGGCTATGGTGCCTCCCAAGGTACCACCTCATGGACGTAGTCTTTCTCAAGGTCTCACGGGACATGGAGGACACGGACAGCCTGGAGGGACACCACGGTCGCGTCGCAACCGCGATTCTTTCTGTGATGACGTTCAGGCAATGAACATGAATGTCAACCAGTGTGGACCTAAGATGGGAGGACGACAGCCAGGAGATTGTCAGAGGTGTGAAGAGGAACCGTTGCTCACCAGAGCTCCTCCAGCACCGCTAAATGCACATGTTTTGCCACCTAGATTCTCAGTAGCGCAGTTGCGTGCTAGTAATAAATCTCAAACACCAACCCGTGCAGCCATGCAGCAAATGAAACCACAAAGTTCTGTTACAACACCCAAGACATATTCACAGTCCCGTCCTCGTACATACCGCCCAGATGAATACAATCTTCCACAAAATTCTTATGTTCCAACCTGGGCCCGCTCACAGAGTGGTGGTCAAGGAGGGCAACAGGGAAGTGGTGGTGGGAAAAAGTCTTCTGGGCGTAGTCGTACATCTCCAAGGAAAGAAAGTGATGATGGTCATTTACGATCCATTGATGCTAATAGGGGTGCTCTTAGTGGTGGACTTATTTTACCACCAATGCCTCGCCATCACCATGTTGAGGAAGCTGGAGTCCGTCATAAGTTACGTTCCTTTGCTAGGCACTATAGTGATGACAGTTTGCATGGCTCATCTCACAGAGACCTTCATTCTACTCGCATCCATTCTTCAGCTGATGAGATTAGTTCTCTGAATCGCTCACCAAGCCTAAGCTCTTCTGATGAAAGTTTCTCACGTACTGATTTTTCTCGTACAGATGCTGATTCACCCTCACCCCAACATGCACCCTCCCTAAGTGATGAACGTTTCAAATACATGTTTAGTGGTATGAATCTTGAAGGAGCAATGGCACCAGGTTTTAGGGAGCTTTCTCCACAGATATACTCAGATTATTTATCAAGTGTAAAAGCATCAAGTGACGAAAGCTCTCTAAGATTAAACAGTCTTTCACGTGATTCTACAACCTATTCCTACCCCAATGTACCTGGACTATGGAGAGAAACTGACATAGCTAGTCCTACTCAAGATGAAAGAATGCGAAGAGATGATTTAGTGATACCAAAGTTAACTGCCGAGTTCTCCAGTGACAAGATGAAGCGTAGTAAGCACAGTGATAAAGTGGAAGTGGAAGTACCATCCCATGTTGATAATTGTGTAAGTCACAGTGCTTCTCCATCTAGTGAGAAGGTAAGACTAGGGTGTAGACTAAGTTATGTTGATTGTGAATTAAATTCTCCCTCAAGAACTAGTGCATCTGGTAGCACAAGTCGTATGCGTAGTTTGGAAAAAAGTCCTCGGGAAAGTACAGCTATGACCCCAGACAGTGTTATAATGATTCCTAAAAAGCGGTCTCTTTCAAGAGAAGAAGGAATGAAGATGAGCAACCACATGGTAGTAGAGCAAGATCTATCTCGAAAACGAAGTTCAGAGCGCCAGAAAAGAGATGGAGAATGCCAAACAGATCCTAGAAGCCACCATCATAAGAATAGTGGAGGTGGGAATAAGATTGGTGACAAGAACAAGACGGAGAGGAAATTAGAAAAATCAGCAACATTTGAGGGCATACCAGAAGACCCAAAGTCAACACACCCTAACAGTGAAGGAGGAAGGTATGGTAGTAGTGATGAAGGTAGAGAGAATGAGGGGAAAGGGGGGTTACAGCAACATCTTAGTTCTGATATCAGCAATAACAATTCAAATAGCAACATTATGGAGAATTACACAGGTAACACACTAGAAGGTTACTCGGCTCTTCATAAGGCAGCTCAACTACAGGAGGATGAGCTGAATAATGTTCTAGCCTCCCCTGATCATTTCAGATTGGAGTCACACTCTATTGAACCACAAGCCCTCAACCACCTCACATCTGAGCCAGTGAGCCTTGACCCAGTAATGCTTGGCCTCCATTTTGACCCTTGTGTTAATCAGACTGTGCTGCAGCTCACCTCTGCTTCTGTAGATGGGGAAATACCACCCCACCTACCGGCCAAATCTCAGCCGGCAAAGCGTTCTCTGGCTGACCCATTGCCGCTAGACCACAGAGCTAAGGCTTCACGTGGCCCTCTAGGCCACAAGTTTCCTCTGGAGATTCCAGCCTCAGAGAAACTTGCTCCACACCAGTGTGTGCGGAGATATGCTGGCTCCAGGTAACCACTGCGCTCTTGCTGTTGTGTTGCTGCTTCTCCACTAACATTGTCTACATTGATAAATTATACAGTGTCTGCATCTCATAAGGTCTGGCATTAGGATTTTAGTATTCCTACATTCATGTGTATTTATTCACAGTAATTTGTTTTATTTAAGAGTAAAGTATATAATTTCATATTCAATTTCATAGGTATGGACACTGTATTGTTTAGAAATGTTTTTTTATTATCACACCGGCCGATTCCCACCAAGGCAGGGTGGCCCGAAAAAGAAAAACTTTCACCATCATTCACTCCATCACTGTCTTGCCAGAAGGGTGCTTTACACTACAGTTTTTAAACTGCAACATTAACACCCCTCCTTCAGAGTGCAGGCACTGTACTTCCCATCTCCAGGACTCAAGTCGGCCTGCCCGGGTTTCCTGAAAACCCTTCATAAAAGTTTCTTTGCTCACTCCAACGCACGCAAGTATTAAAAACCATTGTCTCCATTCACCCCTATCAAACACCTCAGCATGCGCTGGAAGTCCAAGCCCCCTCGCACACAAAACCTCCTTTACCCCTCCCTCCAACCCTTCCTAGGCCGACCCTACCCCGCCTTCCTTCCACAAACAGACTGATACACTCTTGAAGTCATTCTGTTTCGCTCCATTCTCTCTACATGTCCAAACCCACCTCAACAACCCTTCCTCAGCCCTCTGGACAACAGTTTTGTAATCCCGCACCTCCTCCTAACTTCCAAACAAACGAATTCTCTGCATTATATTCACACCACACATTGCCCTCGGGACATGACATCTCCACTGCCTCCGCCTTCTCCTCGCTGAAACATTCATCACCCACGCTTCACACCCATATAAGAGCGTTGGTAAAACTATACTCTCATACATTCCCCTCTTTGCCTCCAAGGACAAAGTTCTTTGTCTCCACAGACCCCTAAGTGCACCACTCACTCTTTTTCCCTCATCAATTCTATGATTCACCTCATCTTTCATAGACCCATCCGCTGACACTCCACTCCCAAATATCTGAATACGTTCACCTCCTCCATACTCTCTCCCTCCAATCTGTTTATTAAATCTTTCATCACCTAATCTTTTTGTTATCCCATAACCTTACTCTTTTCCCTGTATTCACCTTTAATTTTCTTCTTTTGCACCCCCTCCAAATCATCCACCAATCTCTGCAAACTTCTCTTCAGAATCTCCCAAGAGAAACAGTGTCATCAGCAAGAGCAGCTGTGACAACTCCCACTTTGTGTGGGGTATTCTTTATCTTTTAACTCCACGCCTCTTGCCAAGACCCGCATTTACTTCTCTTACAACCCATCTATAAATATATTAAACAACCAAACGGTGACATCACATCCTTGTCTAAGGCCTATTTTTTACTGGGAAAAAATTCCCCTCTTTCCTACATACTCTAACTTGAGCCTCACTATCCTCGTAAAAACTCTTCACTGCTTTCAGTAACCTACCTCCTCCCCCATACACTTGCAACATCGCCCACATTGCCCCCCTATTTCCCCCCTGTCTTACCCTTTTCCAAATCCATAAATGCCACAAAGACCTCTTTAGCCTTATCTAAATACTTTCACTTATATTTTTTCACTGTAAACACCTGGTCCACACACCCCCTACCTTTCCTAAAGCCTCCTTGTTCATCTGCTATCCTATTCTCCGTCTTACTCTTAATTCTTTCATTATAACTCTACCATACACTTTACCAGGGACACTCAACAGACTTATCCCCTATAATTTTTGCACTCTCTTTTATCCCTTTGCCTTTAAACAAAGGAACTATGCATGCTCTCTGCCAATCCCCAGGTACCTTACCCTCTTCCATACATTTATTAAATAATTGCACCAACCACTCCAAAAAACTTATCCCCCCCCTGCTTTTAACATTTCATTTTTATCCCATAAAATCCCGGCCCCTTACCCCCTTTCATTTTACCTACTGCCCACGAACTTCCCCCCACCAAAACTGATCTTCCTCACCCCTAAAGATGTTTTCCCCCTTTTGCCCTATACCGAAATCACGCTTCCCTATCTTCATCAATTTTTAAACAATTCCTAAAAAATTTTCCCTTCCCACTTCCCAATCCTCTAATCTCCATTTAATAACTCTCCCCCCCTATTTTAACTGAAAAATCCATTTTTTCTCTACTTTTCTAATTGTTAATCCATCCAAAACTTTTTCTTATTTTCAACAAAATTTGTTGATAACACCACCCCTCTCTCATTTGCTCTTTTTTTACATTGCTTTCCCCCCTCTTCTTTCTCTTTTCTCCAATACTTTTTTTCCCCTCCTTGCTCACTTCTACTTTGAAAAAAAATTTCAAAGCAACTTTTCCCCTTAATACTCTCTTACTCATCTTTTCCACCAATCGCCCCTCTTCCCTCCTGACCCACTTTCCCTGAAACCCCCAAAAATTTCTGCGAACACTCAAACACTACATTTTAAACCCCCCATCCTCTTCGCCCCATTGCCATCTCTCATTACCCCTCTATCCTCCAATAGCTCCAATGTATCTTTTATTAACATACCCTTGTGTACGGTCCCACCAATCCAAACAATTTGGGGGTTTCTACTACTATTTTCATTTCATTCTCTCAAGCCTTGTTTTGTCACTTGTAGAGAATTAGCATAAACCATGTATAAGATTCCCATCATTCTTTGCGTTTAAATGGATCATTATTTTGTAACACTGAGCTGGGAAAATATTATTTACAAATTAGAATTTTCCATTCTTGGCCTTTTTGCCAGTATGTAAGGGACCATGGTTGTGGTTGTCTGTCTCCCTGCCTGTACCTCAAGTGTTTTTAATAAAAAAATTAACATTTCTGTGCAAATAAGTAATATTGCCAAGGTATATTTACATTAATTCATACCTGCTTTTTGAAGGGCCGTTTTTATTTTTAACCCTAAAAGGGTTTCATAGAGTCGACCAAGCATTTTTCAACATGCTCTACTTTTAGATGGGAAAAATCTATGTTTTTTTTTGATGGGATGGACATTAAACTTAAATATTTAAGAATTTTACTTTTTAACACATTGACCATTTCCCACCAAGGCAAGGTGACCAAAAAAAAGAAGGAACTTTTTTCATCATCACTCACTCCATCATGCTTCCCAAAGGGGCTTTCTAAAATTACCCTTCAAAAACTTTGGGTGTGTGTACTACCTATTTGTACTCATCGTTTGGGTTTTGCAGGGGTTGAGTCATAGCTTCGGGGCCCTCCCTTTCCCCCCCGTTTGCTCGGGGTCTTCTTAACTGTCCATGACTTTATAAAACCTCTTTTAAAAAACCTTGTAGGTTTTCCGCCTCCACACGCCCTTTTTTAGGCTATTCCACGGCCTGACAACTCTGTGCTGTGTGTGTGTGCATATATATAAATGATAAAACACTGACCTGGCTGAAGGAGACCAAACCCCTACAACCAAGGACAAGGTAGCAGGGCTTTACCTCTACCCACATTGGCCCAAATCCTTGGGCTGTAGCATGCGCTACACTTTTGATCCAAGGCAGCCACTTTCAGGGAGAAGGCTTACAGTTTTTCTCCGGGGATGAGATGAAAAGTGAAACCCTTTTCCCTGAAAGCGGGCCCCTTGGATCAAACGTGTAGCGCATGCTACACGCCAAAAGGTTTTGGCCTTTTGGGGTAGATTGGTAAACACTGCGTCCCTTTGTCCTAAGGTTTTTTTTTTTGGTTTGGGATTTCCCCTTTCACCCAGAGATAGTGTTTGTGTAATTTGCATCCTCGCAAATTTCCCCTTGCATATATATAATATTTTAATATATATTTTATATAAAAATATAAAATATATTATATATATAACACCCCAGTGGACCCCCGCTTAACGATGACCTCCCAATGCGACCAATTATGTAAGTGTATTTATGTAAGTGCATTTGTACGTGTATGTTTGGGGTTCTGAAATGGACTAATCTACTTCACAATATTCCTTATGGGAACAAATTCGGTCAGTACTGGCACCTGAACATACTTCTGGAATGAAAAAATATCGTTAACCGGGGGTCCACTGTATATATGTACAGTGGAACCTCGGCTTATGAACGCCCCACCATGCAAATTTTTCAGGATACAAACCGTCGTTCCACCGATTTTTTGCTTCTGGATACAAACAAAATTTCAGTATGCGAACTTCTTCATCAAGGGAGGTTCCTTAAGTAAGTAAATAAATAAAATATTTATTTCTTTGCAAAGGTTACAGTGTGTGTTTACATATAATATTATTGGAGCAAAGAAAGCCTCTATCATGCTGAGGAATTTCAGGCAGACTTTACCTAATACTGATAGACTACTTAAGTCTAGACAGGTGAAAAGTGTACTACAGGTCCGCCATCACAAATCCGGCAATCAGTTATTCGGTTCCTTCAGTTATTCGGCACTAATTTTGGCTAGCATAATTTCAAATTTCCAGGATTGCCACACCAACCTGCTGGTACTGTTTGGTGGCGCTACTTGCTGCATCAGTCATTCTAATTCCTTTTTCTCCATTTATTGTTATAACCTGCTTACTTCTAGCCCTAGCCATGGTTCCAATGAATAAAAGAAATGCTTCTCGTTGTGTAAAGCATCTACACAGTGCATTGTCCATTAAAGATAAGGTGACTTTGAAGCCACTGTTAGCTGCCATGAGCTCAGTCTCGTGATGCAGAATATGCATTGTTATTATGCTAATATCAACAATACAGCTTATTGCCTATCACAATTGATCTAATATGACATAAACAATATAAACAACATAAAACATGTTAAATACTCCAGAATGAATAATATTTGGCATAATACAGAGCAGTTCGACGGAGGTATGAAGAGGATATGGTATACAAATACCATTCTCCTATCCCTGTCTTGGGGGGCTTATATTAGAGAAAATGGAGTATAGCACAAGGGCTAACTGTGATATACACTCATACTGCACCATAAACCTGAAACAAAAAAGTTATTTTCTCTATATAGATTATCACA